TTACTATTATTGTAGAGACTTTTTTCCAGTAATGACAATGTTGGTATTCCAGGTTAATTCTAGTATTATACGTAATTTTTTTTCATTTATTCATTATTTACGTGGTAGAGCCACGCTGCAACTGCGGCTTGACCGGGGTACATAAAATAGTAGCTCGATGCTGCTGTTTCTTATGGTTAGTGTAGAGAACAGGAGACCCATTTTACAGAAAACGAGGCATTCCATCTAAGTCCTCACGGGTGACAACGTATCTGCATTTTGATTCTTAATCGAGGATAAATTTATATGTCTATGGGCCACAGCATCCACCTATGATCACGTGGACTGTATGCTCGTTTGTCATACTATTCCAAAAATATTAAAACTCCACAAATTGTTAACTCCCGACGTTTCAGGTGTTTTACAGATACCACAGTCACGAGGAGGGGAGGGGGGGGTGACTGAGATTTTTGACTTCCCGATTACATTTGTGGATCATGGGTGCTGTAAAGCAACCGAAATCTCGGGCAATAAAAAGTCAAAATAAAACGCGATGAAATCCTAGTGTTCGAGTAATTATAAGAAGACATTACATTCTGAAATATTTTTGTATGCCGCATACGTTATAACGGCGATAGTACGTAAAATTAAAAGTAAATTTAATGGTCATCATTTATGGGAGCCCATTACTTTAACGCTCCTTAATTATGCAGAATAATCTTTAAACATTATTGTTTTCATTGAAACAGAAACCTATAGTTAATATGTTTGTAAATATTGTAATAAAATATTGTAGTTGTCGCCAATACGTAAATAGTTTGTGAAAATAATATTTATAAAAATTCTACGATCTTTTGTCCTAACATCTATATCTTTTTACAGCATTCCAATTGAAACACGGTGAAAAAATCATTCGATTAGATATTCGTAAATTGAAATGAATTTAAAAGAATTCAGCACCGATAGAAAACCGTGAAACAATATTCCAGCTGGCTCTTTCGATAATAATAACATTTCCGAGCGAGAAAGCACCTAATGTGCCCTGCCTGCGGGTATATCCACCTTCAATTTTTTGCTGGATTATTTCTTGTAAAATGAAAATTCTTTGCGTATTATTCCTTTAAGAAAACCGTATTGATCAGCACAGAAAATTATACTGTAATATTAAGTTATATTTCGAAATTAATATTTGACAACTTATTATTATTAGAATTATTTAGATTACGTATAATTTAGCTATATGTCTTATAACAAATCAAGAAAGAAATAACAAAAATAAAAATTCATCATATAAACTTTTTTTTTTTAAATATTATCTAACCTATATCGTGCCTTTTTCCAAAATCCATGGTGATAAAATAATTGTACTAAAGGCTTTTTCTTCGCAACTATGATTGCCTATTTCTCTCTTTATAACAAAAAAGTTAACAGTAGCAACAATTTAGTACATTGTGTACAATTATGTACATCCAAAAATTAACTAAAATCTTATTACACATACGAGGTAGTAACACCGGCGTACTGCGCACGTGGCACAAATACTCTATAATAATAAAATAAAGCTGCGATTCCCATTCATCCTGTTGAGCGTGGCAACCATTACAAACACGCCTGTGACGCAACCAGTGGGAAAAGACTATGTTCATTAGTCGTGAAAGCGAAAAATCACAAGTGAACAATAATGGACTGCAATGAATAAATTAATGAATGTGAATAATTTGTTTTGTACTAATTAAGTTGCAAAGTTATGTGAAATAAGTGGGATGAATGGTAAGATAGATATTTAGATATACCACCATTCGCGGCATATATTACAACTTGAAAAAAAATTCCCGACAAATATTATATGACAAAACCGCCGTAATACTTTGTGAATTTTCACGGCTCAATAGCGCAGTTCCCAATTACTTGGCTATTGCGCCATGGGCTTCAATCCCGCACAGAATAAGTCTATATGGCCTGCTAACAATTATTCCGAGTCTGGATGTCTGTCAGTTTTTAGCTTAACAAATTTAGTAAAACGACTCCACATCATAATAGAGAATAGTGCAAATAGAGTAACGCAGTTCTTATTATGAACTAATTTCTTCATAATTATGTAATGTTACAATTTTCGTTTTTCCTAATACCAGTTGGATTTGTCATATAAAGTATCAAATTCAAATTCAAAATTCATTTTTTACCATTACACCAAAGGTCCATGGGTTAGTAATACATTAATGCTTAAAAACTAAGTGTTAGTATTTTGAAAAACAAATTAAGTTAATTTATATTAAATTATATTTGGAAATAAAATAAAATTATAATATATCTAGAAATAAATTAAATCTAACTTAGTCAAATTGAATCGAAATTAGATCAGACCAAATCAGAAAAAATAATTCCAAATTAAATTCTAATTTGTCATGTACCTAACAGGCACTCCGTGCGGTCTACACCTCGAAGAGTTATTGAAATAGAAACAGAAACTTTTTTATTCAATGTAGATTATAAACAATACTTATTGAAAGTCAATTTTCTTTTAAAAAAACCTCTGTCCTGGGAAGAATCAGCAAGAAACCCAGCGGGACTATTTTTTTTTTTTCAAATAATAGCTTACAATTATGTTTACAATTAACAACACAGGACAAATTAGAAATAGCTTGGTAGCGATCACCCTTCTCAGGGGTTAAATATCATCCATAAATTCCTTAATATTATAATAACCTTTTTTATACAAACTTTTGAATAAAATTTTTGAACTTTGCGCATGCCAAATTTTGTATATTTTCTGGGATTTTGTTGTAAAAGCGTATACATCGCCCCAAGAATGAATTACTGACTCGGTGGAGTCGAGTAACTGGTACTACTAGCTTGTGTCCTAGTATTTACAGAATGAATATCACTTATTTTTGCAAAACTACGTTTATTCTTGTGTACGTACATTACATTTTATAAATGTATTGAGGGGGCTAGAGTTAAGATACTAATTTCCTTAAATTTTTGTCTCAGTGACTCTTTTGGTTTTAAATTATATATTGCTCTAATGGCTCTCTTCTGTAAAATAAATATAATTTCAGTGTCAGTCACGTGTCTCCATAGCAAAATACCATACGACATAATGCTGTGGAAATAACTAAAGTAAACTATTCTAGCTGTTTCAACATTGGTAAGATTTCTAATCTTTTTTTACAGCATATGCTGCAGAACTAAGTCTGCTAGCTAGTTTTGATATATGGGGGGAGCCATTGAAGCTTTGCGTCTAGTGTGATTCCAAGAAAAATGGTGGTTTCAACAAGACTCAGTTCTTCCCCATTTAAAATTACATTCGTATTAACATGTTTGACAATAGGAGTTTCGAATTTCATACTTTTAGTTTTAGTACCATTTAAATGCAAATTATTAACATTAAACCAATTGACTAACTTAGCTATAGCATTATTTACTTCGTCGTAATTTAACAACTGTCGTTTTAATTTGAAAAGTGAATATACTCCGCAATTTTTATTTAATAAAGAAGTCAGTTGGAATTAAAGACGCAACTTTTCAAAAATAAAAAACAAGTAGATTGTGTGTAACGTACTAAATTCGCAAAGTAAAATTAAGTTAGTCGCGAATGCTGTTTATCATATCATAATATAAAAACTCGCTTCTCTGCTAATTTGACTGTTTATATTCATGAAGCGCGCGGTGTATCGTGTCCGAAAGGCCTCTATTTATCTTATTTGGGACACATTTGTGCGGAAAAGTTCGTTCACATGAGAGTTGTAGCTTTTTTCGACGAACTTGTTTAAGCTCAAATATAATGCGCGATGATAAAGCAATATAACTTTTTCTATTTACTTTTATTGTTCTTAAGAGCTAAAAATAATTTTTCACACGAAATACATTTATGCTATGTTTTTGGCATTTGGTGCCGGCGTAAGAGTATCCACTACTTATCATCACGTGGGTGTCGCACGAAGGGACCGAGGAAAATAGCGTAGGAGATGGGCACCAGCGTCTCCCTGATAACAACTCAATAATCGCAATAAAAGTGTACAGTTTCCAATCCGCATGCCAAGCAATCGTTAGTTTGTTACGGTTTAAATATTTTTAGCGGCGTAATTTTTATAGGCTGTAACCGATGAAAGAATGAATGAAGTGTACATGTCATTGAAATAAGCGGGTAGTATAGAAAACAAAAGGAAATCTTTTAATGTCCAATTTCTTTATTTGTGTGATTTTCTTCAAAATTATTCTAAACTGACTGATATTTGAGGCTTCGTGTGTGGTATTTATTACGATTGAATTTCATGGCTTTGAATTTTATGCGCGGAACCCGAATTCTTTTTTCTAAAATAAAAGTAGGTTTTCTAAAATAACAAACAGACGGACAGAAAAATATTTAAAAAATTGTTTTTGTTATAAGTACCGTCAGTGCTGTAATATGTATTTAGTAAAAAGCTGTTATTTTAACATTAGAAACAGACACTTCAACTTTATTTATTTTTGTAGATAAGTTAGAGTAACTTTCTTGACGGCTGACAAAATTTAAATCATTTAATTAAATCGTATTATTTAATTAAATGATTTAGATTTACACGGTATGGAAATAATCGTATTATTACCATACCGTGAATATTGTATCGAATTGTCTTGCATACCAATGGCGAAATAAAAATTCAAAATAACATCAGAATTCTCAATAATTTGTTGCGTTTAATATCTACAGCATGCTTTTGGTTCCTACTGCGATCTTTAATGCACACAAACAGCTTGCCCATTTTAGCAAAACTAACAAGTTTGAGAAAGGACTATATCTAGCCTTGGATTATTATTAGTAGGCCTGGTTGATCAATAAGTTTTCGGAATAGGATATTTATCAACAATAATACAACAATAATAATAATAAAGGCGTAGGGAAGTGACGACCCCATCGCCCGCTGACGTAACAGTTATGTGACAAAACTGCGACGTCGGCGCAGTCAGTCAGCATCCTGCCAAGACGTGTGAGCGCCGTGCCTAGGCAAAATTGTAGATGCAAAGGTCCGTTTGTGCATATGACCCAACCACGAAACGGTGCCGGGCTTGGGCGTCTCCCGTTATTTGGCGCCCATAAAATGGATGATGGAAGAAACACTGAAAGGAACGCGCATAGGGCCGCTGCCTGGGGGTCGCGGGGCGCGTCTGGAGCTGGCGCTGGACGCGGCAGCATGCGGGACGCCAGCCGAGCGCGAGGAGCTGCACGATCACCTAACAGCCCCTCGCATCCATCATCCCCACCAGAAGGCTTGGTGTCGGCTGGGTCTTCTCGGACCCAGCAAGCGGCACCCGCCGCTGGTGGAGCACGTCGCATGCGTTGGACAAAATCCATGAACGAAAACGCATTGCGGGCGTACTATAGGGCGAAAGGGGAAGAAACTGTGGGAATAGCGTATAGGTCTCGGATGCATTGCTTTTTTGCTGAGCTGGAGCCGTCTATCCCCGTCACGGAACAAAACCTGGCAGACCGAGTTCGGTACATCATACGCTCGAAAATATTTGATGATGCCGAACTCGAACGACTACGACGTGAGGCTATTCCGTCGTTGAATGAATCGGCTATGGCTGCAGATGCAGCTCCACATTCGACAGACCAGCATCCACACGTGGATGCCGCCATGGATCTTCCAGTTGTGGTTGATTCGACAGACGATGAAATAGTCTCCCACGAACTAGAGCAAATGAGGAGTATATTGGAAGAGGCGATTTTGGAAACGCGCAGCACCCCTCTCGAAAATCGACCGCGACTTCCCCCGCATACCCCTAAGCAAGCGAATTCGGGCTGTCGTGAGGGCTCATAACCCAATGCTGGTGACCTATTTGGAAGCCAGCCGGGACCTTTGCGAGACGGACTCGATTCTCTTTGGCGCCGCAGTGGCAGTTTGCCGTATTATTGGCGCCAAACTTCCCATGGCTGGACGCGCTACTACACAAAGTAGCGCCATCCCAGCCTGGAGAAAAAGAATCGAGGACGTATCGCAAAGGCAAGGGCCCTTATCGGCAGACTGACAAGCTTCAGGTCGGGTAATAATAGACCGAGGATTATGCGCACCGTTAGGATGGCGTTTGCTGGGACAAATATCAGTTTGTCCCAGCATCACGCAGAAACTAACGGAGCGCATAGACGACCTGAAGCAAAAGATCGCTGCTTGGGGGAAGCGGACTCGACGATTTTCCGAGAGGTCAAGGCGGTTCAACCAGAATCGTCTCTTCCAGAGTGATCAGAAGAGGCTCTATAAATCATTGGAGCAACCAAAGGTATGTGGAGCGGGCCACATTATCGCATTCTGGCGTGGCCTGTGGTCAGAGCCCGTAAACCACAGCGAGGGCCCTTGGATGGAAGTTGTGGCGAGCCAGGGTGCGAGTAATACGCCTATGGACCCCCATCATCATAACGCCAGAAGACGTGGCTGAGGCGGTCCGTAGGGCCCCGAACTGGAAAAGTCTGGGGCTCGACGGGCTGCATCATTACTGGCTGAAGGGGTTCACAGTGTGTCACGCTGTGCTCGCCCGACAGTTTCAAGAGGCTCTCGACCAGAAGTCACTCCCGAGCCTCTTCACTACTGGGATCACTCACTTGGTTCCTAAAGATCAGGATACCACAGACCCGAGCAAATACCGCCCCATCACATGTCTACCCACCATATATAAGACACTGACATCCATTTTGAGCGCGAGAATCACTCGTCACCTGGAGCTAAACCAGGTGATGTCACGCGCTCAAAATGGGTGTCGGGGCGGTGGTCGTGGAACTGAGGAACCACTCCTCATTGACGTGGTCATAGGCAAAGTGGTGAAACGCAACCGTCGGAACTTCTCTGCCGCCTGGATAGACTACAAGAAGGCGTTCGACTCGGTGCCCCATACATGGCTAAAGAGGGTCCTCGAGCTGTACAAGATTGACTGTACAGTTAGAGACTTCCTCGAGCAGTGTATGGGGCAGTGGAGTACGATCCCTTGTCATCTGGGCGAGCGGACGACGGCTGCGGAGAACCACATAAGGATAAGAAGAGGTATATTCCAGGGCGACTGTCTGAGTCCAATCTGGTTCTGCCTCTCTTTGAACCCTCTCAGTACTTTACTGGAGGGCTCCGGGAGGGGATTTCAGCTTCGGAAAGGAGGTACAAAAGTGACCCACCTTTTCTATATGGATGATCTCAAATTATTCGCCTCCAGTCGCTCCCATCTTATGGAATTGCTAAACATCACTTGTGAATTTAGCAATTCTATTAGAATGGAACTGGGGACTGATAAGTGTGCGGTATCCATGTTGAAAGGGGAAGGGTCGCTAACTCTGAGGGCATAGAGTTATCTATGCCCGTCAACTTAAGGGCTCTTTCCGAGGCTGAAACATACCGATACCTGGGTATGTCACAAAACATCGGTATCGATGAGGCTGGTATGAAACAGTCAGTTTGCGACGTGTTTTATGCACGCTTGACCAAAGTGCTTAACAGCCTTTTTTTAGAATAAGACACATATAACGGTTGGGTCATGCCTGTCTTCATGTATACCTTTGGCATACTCAGGTGGAGTCAGACTGAATTTAGCGCCCTGGATAGAAAAGTCCGCACCACAATGACGTCCCATAGGATGCATCATCCGAGATCGTCGGTAATGAGGCTGTACTTGCCGCGAAAGCATGGTGGGCGTGGCTTTCTGAGCGCGCTCACCATGCATAATCGCGAAGTTTGCAGTCTCCGTCAATACTTCTTGGCGAGATCGGATGATCCATTCTATAATGACGTCATTTCTAGTGATAAAGGGCTTACCCCTCTATCCGTAGCTAAAGAGCAATGGCAGGACCCAGCAGTGCTTAGCATTTCCGACTGGGAGACCGTATGGAAGGAGAAAGAGCTCCACGGGAGGTACTATAAGGCTCTACATGAGCCCTTCGTAGATACAGTCGCCTCCCTCAACTGGCTACGTTTCTGTGACCTTTTCGGGGAAACCGAGGGTTTTGTCTGTGCAATACAGGATCAGGTTATTAAGACCAACAACTGTAGGAGATACATCCTGAAGGATGGCACTGTCGATATCTGTCGAACTTGTCGTCATTCCGGTGAGTCACTTAGGCATGTAATCTCCAGTTTTTCGGCGCTTTCTAACTCTGAGTACTTGCACAGGCACAACCTAGTAGCCAGAATTCTACACCAGGAGCTCGCTCTGAAATACGGTCTCGTGGACCAAAAATTGCCGAATTACAAGTACTTGCCGGAAGCCGTGTTCGAAAATGACCGCGCCAGGCTCTACTGGGACCGGGCCATCATCACAGACAGGACTATTCTTGCGAATAAGCCTGATATTGTGCTGATGGACCGGGCACAGTCAAGGATATTTTTGATCGACATTACCATTCCGTATGACGAGAACCTCGTGAAAGCCGAAACAGATAAACGAACAAAATATCTGGACCTGGCTCACGTGGTGACCGACATGCGGGGTGGTATGCCGACCGAAATTATTCCTGTAGTCGTCTCTGCGAATGGGCTAATCCCATTCAGCCTCTCGGGTCATCTGAGGCGACTGGGACTCCGTGACGGACCGCTCCAGGGTCAAATGCAGGAGGTGGTGCTCCTCGATACCGCCCGCATCGTCCGCCGGTTTCTTTCCCTTTCCCCCTAACTTCGGCCGTTTGGTCTCCCCTGCCGAGGGCTCCCATCTGGTTGGATCCTATTTATTTATGTAGTTTTTGTATTTATTTTATTTTATTGATATTTATGTACATTTATCTTTTCATTTTAATTTATAATTATATATTTATAGAACCCAACCAGGTGAGAAAATTATATAGATACCCCAAATAATAATAACAGGACGTTCCATATTATAAGTATGAACCAAAGCCAGTCCATGAAAATAGAAGTGTCACACTGTACTGGGATCGGTCAATTATCACAGACAGGTATATAGTGGCAAATAAACCTGACATTGTGTTGATAGAACGAACTACACGCAAGGCAATAATAGTGGATATCAGTGTTCCTCATGACGAGAATCTCGTAAAAGCAGAGAATGATAAAAAAATTAAATATATCGACCTGGCTCATGAGATTGTCGCTATGTGGGACGTTGATTCTGCTATTATTGTACCAATAGTTGTTTTAGTTAATGGGCTTATTGGTAAAAATATGGACGATTATCTGTCCAACTTAGGTTTGGGCAAATGGCTAAAGGCATAAATTCAAAAATCGGCTTTATTAAATACGGCTCGAATAGTAATAAGGTTCCTATCTTTGGATGCCTAACTTCCCCGATGGCTAAGAATTCCTCGCCGCGGTGGATAATAACCGAAATAATAATATTATTTATATAGATTGTATTTATATTTATAATATTATAGTTTTGTGATAATATATGTGATAAAAATAAATAATAATAAAACAAATTCCCAAATAACAAATTCTCAACGCAAATAGATTTTACAATATCAATATAAATAAAACTTTGAAAATCTGTGGATAAAAAACTAATTTCAAGAAAAATGTATTTCTTTCAAATTGACAACTGTCATCTAAGAAATTTTACAAACAGATTTATAAAATATTTAATTTAACATTACATTATGCATCGAACGAGACGACAAATACGAATAAATACCGCCAATACCACAATCGCACACGTAACATCGCCTACGGAGGACTACACATCCATGGAATGTAATCCAAGAGGCACAAGAAGAACCCCCGTACCATCTTTGAGGGGATGAAGAGCGCCAGCGGCTGGAGGAATTACCATCCTACATGAGGTCCCCGCTACTGATGGTGTAGTGCGACGACGCATGCGCTGGACTAAGGAATTAAATATAAGTGTTATGGGCGCGTACTATAAGGCTACCAAAGGAGGAATCAATCTTACATCTTATCGCCCTAAAATGCTGTCTGAATTCCAACTGCTACAACCCAACCTAACAAACTTAACTGCCCAAAGTAACTATCAATTCAATTCCTGATTCCCAACGAACACTTCCAGGTGAGACTGATGACTTAAATGTAAATAACAGTAATCATAATATAAATATTACTAACTTAAATAACGAAAAAGTAGAGCAAAATTGTTTTGATATAGATGTGAGTTCCAAAGACAGCGAATATACATATGAAAAGGACTTTCGAATGTTCCCTTCTGGAATATAAAAATACACCTATAGAAAATAGACCGAAACTACCTAAACTTCCTAACAACAAAAAAAAACTATTTTAACAGTAGCATCAATGAATATTCTATGTAAAGATTATTTTGAAAAAAGTAACTCTATTTTGGAAACTATGTCTCTTCTATACTGTTGTGGCCATGCTATATGTATGATAATGAAAATTCCTGTCATTTCAGTACAAAATTTTAAGAAAAATAATACAGAACCTAAATTCATAACAAAGAATTCAAAAACGAATTGACAATACGCGCAAAATTGTAGGAAAATTAATAAGCTACAAAAACAGGTAACAGACGTAAAAAAATAATTACTTTAGTAAATCAAATCGCTAATGAAAATGATATTAGCCAATCAGATCCCCATTTTCCGGATAAAATCACTGAATTCATTGATACACAAAAACAAAAGTTAAAAGCATGGTGCAACCGTATTAGACGATATTCAGAAAGATCTAAACGTTACTTCCAGAATCGCACATTTGAAAGTAACCAAAAGTGGGTGTATCGGTCTTGGGAGAACACTCCAACTAATAGTTGTACTCTTGGCAGCCCAAGCTTAAATGAATGTCTAAATTTTTGGAAAAGTATGTGGTCTAACGAAGTTTATCATAATGAAGGCGAATGGATTCGTGCAACCGAACGTAAG